TCGCTCCCCTCGATACGAAGAACGTAAAAAATGGCCAGGACAAATGACGCGTCGTGCGAAGCCGGTCGGTCTCATTCCTTGCCGCGATTTTTCCGCCAAGAGCGACCGAGTCGTCGAGAAAGATCACAGCCTTATCTGAGAAATAGACGGCCATAAAGAATCGGAGAAATCGGCGCGAGATAGGGTGAGATCACCTGGTATAAGTTGACTCGGTATCGCGATGTCGGGCCTGTCGACAAAGTGGCGAGTGATAAAACGCGCGAAAGATCGCACCCCCGACGCGAAGAATCGGTCGTGGGAGAAATATCACGTTTGTTTTCCCCTCTCCCGGGGTTATCCCGGATCTCCGTTCACACCGTTCGATAAAACGTTTTCACGCTACATTGTCTCTAATGGCGATCCGTTCAATTTCGAGGCTGACCTGCTTTCCGTGATTTTTTTTTTTTTTTTTTTTTTTTTTTTCTTTCTCTGCACGCGAATTTTGGTTCGCCTAGTCCTTTTCACACGTATTTTTCGCAACTCTTTGAAGCTTGTAATTAAAGCGAACGCGCGTTGTAAGTTGAACGATACTTTCATCGATAGTGGATTGACTTGGGTAACGCTGAACTACGAAATAACAGATTTTTAGTGTTTTGGTGTGGCGAAATATACTTTGAGTATATACCACAATCAATATTATGTATTATATTATTCTATTATATATTACAGAATATTTATTAGTTATAGATGTTTAATAGGTGATGGTTATTAATCTTGATAAAAAATTGTCTAATACGAAGATTATTAATGTTTATACATGTATGTATAAAAATAGACAAATATCAATTTTAAACTTTCTTGTATCTATTTTTTCAATATATTATTATATCTATATTGCAGGTTGATAGTTCGAATGAGTTGAGTATCCTGAGAAAAGTGTAACTATGAAATCTTTGATTTTTATAAATGTTTGAAAAAATTCGGCTACTATTATTATACTATTTACACACTACTATTACTATACTATTAATTGCAAATACATTTTCTACCAATAATACCAAGAACAAGTTCTTACGAATATTGTAGGTGAGTTTCACTCAGATTTTCCATCAATCTGCCAAGGAGAAAAGCAACAAATTCAACAGGACTAAAAGGAAACATTACAATCGTTTGCAGATTGTCAAATTCTACAAATTAACTTTCTAGCTACTCACGTTCACATCTCGGCGATGGTCGATATTTTTTCTCGGCCAGCTCGGCAACAGATTTTCCCCCGGCGTCAGCGTGTTCTTCTTTCTCGCTGGAAAGTTTTCTGGTTTTCACTATAAGGATCCGAGTGGACGGAAAGGAAGAAAGAAAGAAAGAAAGCAAGAAGGAGGCAGGG